TTTAATCAAGTAAAACTGTGTTTCTCAATTGGCATTTTAGGTAGAACATTCTCTCCAGTTCCAGTTGCCCTTCCCACACTGCAGGATGTAAAATCCTAGTTGGCCCCCAGCAACCTAATAGCAGCAGCACCTCCCACTTAGGGCTGGCCCTAGAGCAAGGTGATTTAAAACATCAAAATTAATGCAAAAATATCCATGATGCCAAATGTTAAGTAAAGATGGAATCAGTATTACTTATTTTTTCTTTTTGCCTCAGGCTCTAATATAGCTAAGCATAGCACTGATCCTGTCTTTAAAATGTTGGCATTTTTCCCGGCGGCATGGCTCAATGGTTGAGCATCGACCTATGAACCACAGTTTGATTCCCAGTCAGGGCACATGCATGGGTTGCAGGCTTGATCCCCAGTGTGGGGCGTGCAGGAGGCAGCTATCCATGATTCTCTCTCATCATTGATGTTTCTAGCTCCCTCTCCCTTCCTCTCTGAAATCAATAAAAGCATATTGAAGTTGGCATTTTGTTCATCATGAATTTTTGCACTAATTTTGATTTTTATATTTCATTACAATATTATCTGGCTTGAGTACTGAGTTTTGGGGTGCCCTTTAAATTTTATACCCAAGGCAAGTGCCTCATTCACCTCACCTAGTCCAGTGCTGCTCCTAGTCATTGTAACAACCCCAAACACCTTCCCACATTTCTAAAGGCCTCCTTGGGCTGAGAATCTCTGAAATAGGGATTGATTTTTTTCTCATATAACAAGAAGTCCAGGGAGAGACAGCCTGGGCCTGGAAATAGTGGCTCCATGCTGGCAGCAGCGCCCTAGATCTCCTTTATATTGGCAGCGCTCACAAGGTGGCTGCGCTTGATCCCCAGTGTGGGGCGTGCAGGAGGCAGCTATCCATGATTCTCTCTCATCATTGATGTTTCTAGCTCCCTCTCCCTTCCTCTCTGAAATCAATAAAAGCATATTGAAGTTGGCATTTTGTTCATCATGAATTTTTGCACTAATTTTGATTTTTATATTTCATTACAATATTATCTGGCTTGAGTACTGAGTTTTGGGGTGCCCTTTAAATTTTATACCCAAGGCAAGTGCCTCATTCACCTCACCTAGTCCAGTGCTGCTCCTAGTCATTGTAACAACCCCAAACACCTTCCCACATTTCTAAAGGCCTCCTTGGGCTGAGAATCTCTGAAATAGGGATTGATTTTTTTCTCATATAACAAGAAGTCCAGGGAGAGACAGCCTGGGCCTGGAAATAGTGGCTCCATGCTGGCAGCAGCGCCCTAGATCTCCTTTATATTGGCAGCGCTCACAAGGTGGCTGCTGTGCCCTGAGGAATTATGTCCTAGTTCCAGACAGAAAAACAAAGGTAGGACAAAGGGCGGGAAAAATTGTCAGCTGAGCCTGACTCTTTTAATTAAAAAAAAACTTTCCCAGGAGCCACACCCAATAAACCTTAACTCATATATCACTGGCCAGAAGTGAGTCACATGGCGGGCCCTAGCTGCAAGTAGCCTGGGGCAGTGAACACTTGTAAGTGGTCACATCTCCAGCCTGAATAAAACTGGTGTTCTCTCCTTGAGATGAGGAAGGGTCGGAGAATAAAAGATAAACAGCTAGAAATGCCTGCCATAGGGGCCATATAGGATAATAATGGCTCCTTTTGGTGACTGCAAATAGTATCTTCTCTGCTTGTAATTTGATGGTCAGCCTGAACAGAGCATTTTGGTGATCACTTTTAGAATTATGGATAAAAACTGGGATGTTGTCTGAGGCTAGGCTCCATGGAAGCAGAGCTCGAAACAGATTTAGGTGCATGTGATTTGTTTACAGACATACTCATAGGAAAAACCTGGAAGGAAGTGAGGGGGAGCAGCCAAGCAAGGATGCATTCTCATGTGAAGTTTGGCTTTGGCTGGATGCACAGGGACTATGAGCCTATCATCTATATATATAAAAGCCCAGCGACCAAACACTGGAGGAACGAGAATGACTGGGCAACCAGTTGCTATGATGCGCACTGACCACCAGGGCGCAGATGCTCAATGCAGGAGCTGCCCCCTGGTGGTCAGTGCGCTCCCACAGTGGGAGCGCCACTCGGCTGACCAGGATGAGCGGCGCTCCCACAACAGGCTGATCTCCGCAGGCCATGCCCCCCACCAGTGCACGAATCCGTGCACCGGGTTTCTAGTATATAATAAAAGGCTAATATGCAAATAGACCGAACAGCGGAACAACCAGTCACTATGACGAGCACTGACCACCAGGGGGCAGACGCCCAATGCAGAAGCTACCCCTGGTGGTCAGTGTGCTCCCACAGGGGGAGCACTGCTCAGCCAGGAGCCGGACTCACAGCTGGTGAGCACAGCAGCGGTGGCAGGAGCCCCTCCTGCCTCTGCAGCAGCGCTACGGATGTCCAACTGACAGCTTAGGCGGGGAGCTAGCCTAAGTTGTCAGTCGGACATTCCCTGAGGGCTCCTGGACTGCAAGAGGGTGCAGGCTGGGCTGAGGGACCCCCTCCCCTGAGTGCACAAATTTTGTGCACTGGGCCTCTAGTATCAGAACAAAGAGGTGCCACCTTGAAGAAGCAAGCTCTTTACCCTTGACAAATCAGTCAACCATTTGCTGCCCCCTCTTGTAGTAAAGGGGCCAGTGTAACCTCCCAGGCTTCTCTGGGTGATGCAATGCCTACTGGCCAAGAGCAACACTCCATAAGGGAGTTACAAATGTAAACTGTTTGCCAAAGCACTTGCTTCAGTTGGGGAAGGCAGATGCCCTACCCTTAATGTGGATCTGGATGGGTGCCAAGAGCATCTACTACAAATACTAATTTTTATACACTTTCCAAGGAACTGCCCTTATTTCTACTTTGTACTGTTGGAGAATGTAACCCTGGATACATTGCTATGATTAAAAACTATTGGAAAAACTGGCAACAAGTTGAAAATGTCTCATTTTTAAGAAAAATGATTAACAGGTGCTGACTTGTTTTGTTGAACCACAAATCTAGAAAGTGCTTTATAGTTTGCTAAGGGTATTAACCGGGATCCAGTCTGTAGTTCACAATCTCATCATAGCATGTAAATATTTCATAGTCTTAGTGTCTCATTTAAAACTCAATGAATATTTAATTGAAGTTGACCAATAAAATAACTGAAAGAATTATGTTGCATTTAGTTAGGCTTGAAATGAGAAAGCTCTTCATTTTCTCAAGTACTTGGAAGCTAAAATTATTCCAACTTCATGAAATATTCTACATAATTTTATAAGTAACTAAAGGGCTACAAAATAAACTTGAAAGGCACATATTACATATTGAGAAAAACATAAAATAAAAGGAATTTTCAACTTTAAATTTAAGAGAATAGATAAATATTTTGTGACCTACAACAGTACTTACTCAGTAGTAAATTAGTTTCAACTATTGTAAATAATCCTCTTTTTGACACAAGAAGTAAAAGTAGAATCTTTTCTTTGGTCCTTGCAAATTAAATATTCTAGAATGATGATGTGCAAACCACCTATAAGGCTGATATTAACAGAAAATCAAAAGTGATCCACCCAAGTACATTAGCCCAGAAATTGTTTCTGAACTCTGGGTCCAGCACTGAGCCAGGTACTGAAAATAATTTTTTAAGAGAGAAAAGTATTGGTTCATGTTCAAAGTAGGGATGGTTTCCCAAGAAAGCAGCTTCCCTGCAGTCTGATAGATCGCCATAAGTGTCAGAACTGACCTTCAGAAGATATGTGCTCAAAGTGATGAGCCCTAATGCTGATGGCATAGGATATGTCACTTCTACCAAATCTGAAAACATTTTCAATGGAATCAAAGTATTGCCAACCAACCCATGTTAAAAACCGCCTGGTAAACAGCATACTAAAGTTGGAATTCTTTCTCTAGTCCTGAATTATGTTTTAATTACAGGACCTAAATAATCTAATAACAGGCTCTGATTTGGAGAACAGAATATGGGGCAGTGAACAGGGTTGTCAATAAATAAAGCAATGAGAAATGACTGGTCACCTCGGGGTTTTTTCCTTTTGATCTTAGTCCCTTTTTAAGATATTCAAATGGATTGCCTTTGTCAACTGTCAAAATGCCAGTATATATAAATACACACATTAAGAAGTTCAGACTCTTCTCCAATAATAGTACCTCTTTCTGTCCCATCTACACCTCTTGCCATGGCACCCTTTGGTTCTCAGGGATGGGGGATCATAATTAGTATGGAGAAAAGAAGAGAAGGCATCTTTCTGTTGCTATCTAAAGGGACATTCAAAATCAAACAAAATTATTTAGTTAATGGCAACTCACTAAGCAAAAGTGACAGCCTAACCAGACTCTTAGAATCTATAGAAGAAAATCTTAGAGAGGAGAGGAGAGGAAGGTTGATAAAATACCATATGATTTCACTTATTTGTGGAATCTAAAAAAAAACAATATAAATGAACAAATAAAACAGAAACAGACTCATAGACTCAGAGAACAGACTGATGGTTCCCAGAGAGGAGGGGGTTGAAGGACTGGGTAAAAAAAGTAGAGGAATTGAGAAGTACAGATTGGTAGTTACAAAATAGTCATGGGGATATAAAGTACAGCATAGGGAATACAGTCAGTGATATTGTAGTAACTGTATGGGGCCAGGTGGGGACGGGAAATATCAGGAGGAACTCTTTGTAAATTATATGATTGTCTAACCACTATGAGTACACCTGAAACTAATACAAAATAATATTGAATGTAAACTGTAATTGAAAACAATAAATTAATTTAAAAAAAGAAAGGTTGATAAGCATTAGCCAAGAAAGGTGAACATTTGGTGTCCTGCACCATTGGTTTGTTTCTTTGTTTAGGGTACTTAGTTCTTGAGTGTGTCTTTTGAGAACAACTAGCCTTAACATTTACATTGAGGATTCATATTTTCTCAAATCTACTTAATATTTAGTACATGTCACGTTTTAAGACTGCATTTCTCCCCGTGTTATGTGACTTACGTGTTTATCAAAAGCCACCCAGGATGGTAGTGTACTTCCCACTCCTGAAGGATATGCACTGTGATTGGGCTTCTTCTTTGGCCCATAAGGCAACATCTCACGTCTTCCATGCTGAGCCTCAGACACCAACACTCTCTTGTACTTATCCTCTCCCACCTGTGAACACAAGAGACAACATAAAATGACCAAGCTTATTCACTAAGATTTTTCTTATTTGTTTGAAAAGGTAAACACATTTCCTTTTTTTAAAATATATTTTATTGATCTTTTACAGAGAGGAAGGGAGAGGGATAGAGAGTTAGAAACATCGATGAGAGAGAAACATCGATCAGCTGCCTCCTGCACACCCCCCACTGGGGATGTGCCCGCAACCAAGGCACATGCCCTTGACCGGAATCGAACCCGGGACCCTTCAGTCCGCAGGCTGACGCTCTATCCACTGAGCCAAACCGTCAGGGCTAAACACATTTTCTGTCATTTATTTTTCCCATTACAAAATGCGTATTAGAGTGACAAATAATTATGATCAATCTTTCCCCAGAAAGTTGTGTCACATTTTAAATTCAATTCATTGTAACAAATTCAAAACTTTGGAAAGCAATAAGAATAAACCCAATGCTCCATGCTATTTAAAACATTTAGAAATAACTATTATCGCAGGTGAACATTTAGAACATTAGTCTGCTAATTGGCATATTCTACTTCTTTGCAAAGAGTGAAAATGGGGGGAGCGGGGGAACCTCCTCTACTTCAGAGTAAAAATAAAAGTTATCCCATAGAAGTCTAACATTATTTTCACCAAAACAGAGAATGAAGACTTTTTGCTCATTAAAATAAATGTAACAGAATATTCCTCAGAGCTGACGTTCTCCACCTAATAATAGAACCTTGCCCTCCCTCTTCCTCACTCCTCTCCCATCTTGTCTGGGGATCTGGCGAGAGAAGTAAAAGCCTGGAGTGTGCTACCAAGAACTAAGAAAGATGTGGACCAACATCAGCTCACACACACCGCTAGTAGGAAAGTAAAGCAGAAGAATCCCTCTGAGTTGTGACAATACCTAGCAAAGTGAAAGGTGTATATGCCTTATCGGCTAGCAAGTCCACCTCGAAATATATTTTGCATTGTGCACGAGGAGCTATATATTGGATTTGTTATAGCAATGTTTTATGAGTGAAAAATAGGAAACAATCTAAATGTCCACCAGTAGCAGAAAGGATACCTCAATGATCTCTTTATAAAATGGAATATTAATATGAACAAATCTCAAAAAAATCCAAGCAAAAAATAGGTATTAAAGGGGAACATAAAACCTGATAATTCCACACATATAAAGCCTGAAAATATTCAAAAATACAGTATTATTATAGATAATATAGACATAAAAATGATAGAAATAAAAAATTCAACATAATATAATATCCATGACAATACAATATCTGATACAATAAATAGCATATATCATATCAAAATGAACACTGACATACCCCATAGCCCTGAATAAAAATATAACATTTTAGATACAACTGAAGCCCTCTATCAGAGCTTATGCCCTTGCCTCTATCTTCAGAGGTAATCACTATCCTGAATTTGCTGCTTGAACTTGAACACTTTGCCAGGACTCTATACAGCCAGGGCAATTGTCTCTTGCAAAGCATGATGCACTGGCAGGGAAGTCTGAGTGGAAATTCAAAAAGACTTTGTCTCTTTGCTTGTGTTTTCTTGTTTCAAGGCAACCTACTGAATGAGAGAAAATATTTGCAAATCATATATCTGATAAGGGGCTAATCTAAAATGCATAAAGAACCCATATAACTTAACAGCAAAAATAAATCCAAGTTAAAAATAGATCTGAGGCCCTAACCAGTTTGGCTCAGTGGATAGAGCATCGGCCTGCGGACTGAAAGGTCCCAGGTTCGATTCCGGTCAAGGGCATGTACCTTGGTTGCGGGCACATCATCCCCAGTAGGTGTGCAGGAGGCAGCTGATTGATGTTTCTCTCTCATCAATGTTTCTTACTATCTATCCCTCTCCCTTCCTCCCTGTAATAAACCAATAAAATATATTTTTAAAAAAATAGATCTGAGAAGACATTTTTCCAAAAAAAAAGACATACAAACGGCCAACAAATATATGAAAAGATGCTCAACATCACTAATTATCAGGAAAATGCAAATTAAAACCACAATGAGATATCACCTCACACCAGTTGGAATGGCGATTATCAAAAAATAACAAGTATTGGCAAAGATGTGGAAAAGGGGAACCCTCATGCACTGTTGGTAGGAATATAAATTGGTGCAGCCCCTATGGCATGCAGTATGAAGGTTCCTCAAAAAAAAAAAAACTAAAACCAGAACTACCATGTGATCCAGCAATTCCACTCCTGGTTATTTACCTGAAAATGAAAACATTAATTTGAAAAATATATACATCCCCATGTTCAAATCGCAGCATTACTTACAATAGCCAAGACACTGAAACAACCTTAGTGTCCACCAATAGATGAATAGATAAAGCAAACGTGATCTCTATAATAGAACATGGGTGCACCTTGAGGACATTATGCTAAGTGAAATATGTCAGACAAAGACAAATACCATATGATCTCATTTATATTTGGAATCTGAAAAAAATAGCTCACAGATACACAGAAATCGGTGGTTACAAGAGGTGAAAGGTTTGGGGGGGAGGTGAAATGAGCAAAGGGGACTCAAAGGTACAAACTGTCCCATTATAAAATAAATAAGTCATGGGATGTAATGTACAGCATAGTGACTATAGTGAACAATACTGTATTGTAAGTATACAAGTGCTAAGAGAGTAAATCTTAAAAGTTCTCATCACAAGAAAAAGAATTCTGTAACTATGTATGATGACAGATGTTAACTAGACATTGTGGTGGTCATTTTGCAATATATACAAATAGCGAATCATTCCATTGTACACCCGCAACTAACATAATGTTATATATCAATTAGACCTCAATAAAAATAATAAATAAACTAAACAATATTTATAGGGAAAAGATCTCATTTCCTCTTGTAGTGAAGAATGGGAAAGGGCCTGCCCAGGGGAGTCCGGCCACAACAGCTGCTCTGAGCACATAAACAGCACAGCTCAGGCCGCAGGAGGAAAGCTAGAGGCAATGGTCAGGATGGTGAGCTGCAGCCTAGTTCTGTCCCTTAGAGAATCCATTGACATCACCTCAACCAGTCTCCCCACTCCCTGTCACACTCACAACCACACACACACTCAGGTTGCCACAAGTTGGTCCCAAATCACCATAGCAAAGCAAAAACTGGTTTGGTTAAAATGAATGTTGGAATACATAATTGTATAGCAATATTTATTCCCTCTTTTAAAGCAAGTATTTTGGAAGTAATCACAAACTCACCTCAGTTCAAACTAGTAAATATTACTTAAGCATCTACTATATTCCTAGATTTGTTCCAGATATACTAGTTAAAATAAACATAAGACTCACAACCCTTGCCCTAAAGAAGAAACCTACAATCTTACTTATAAGGTAAGATTTAGATATATAAAAGAATTTTAAAACTTTAAAAAAAACAGTATGACTACCATTTTTGACCACTTACCATGAGCTAGACTCTTTACTAAGGGCTTTATATACATTATCTAACTTCACCATCACAAAACTAGTTTATAGGTGTTATTACTGACATGTTACCAATGAGGAAACCAAGGCAGAGAGAGGTAGACTAGCATACTCACAATTGCATAGTAACTAGTGGAGCCTGCATATGAACCGAAATTCCATTTCTGCACTATCAGAATATTAACTTAAAATTTCAATTCAAGCCCTGGCCGGTTTGGCTCAGTGGATAGAGCGTCGGCCTGCGGACTGAAGGGTCCCGGGTTCGATTCCGGTCAAGGGCGTGTACCTTGGTTGCGGGCATATCCCCAGTAGGGAGTGTGCAGGAGGCAGCTGATCGATGTTTCTCTCTCATCGATGTTTCTAACTCTCTATCCTTCTCCTTTCCTCTCTGTAAAAAATCAATAAAATATATTTTTTTAAAAAATTGAAATTCAAAATTCTATACTTTGAAAACGTATTGCTTGAGGATTTGTTTAGTATAATGTAAAATTCCGTAAGGCCTCTGTTTCAAATGTTTGCCCTTCCTGACACACACACACAAACTTGACATCTGGCCATTATAATCTCTTAGGATCACATGTCAAGCTGCCCTTTGCCCTAGTGACTGTGAAGTGGTGGTCAGTCTCACTCCAAAGATAACAGGCAAATGTCTTAGCAAATGATAATGTCAGAAACATAGCACCCCCAGATCCGGGGCCCCCTGTTATCTCAACCCCTGGGTCCCCTCCCATTCTGACACTGCTCCTGGAAAAGCAGCGGCCAAATCCAGATCTCCTTCATGTTTCACATCAGATTAATAGCTGATACAACCACCACTTCTGTGATGCTAAAGACTGGAAGAGTGCCCTAGCCAGTTTGGCTCAGTGGATAGAGCGTCAACCTGCAGACTGAAGGGTCCCAGGTTCGATTCCTGTCAAGGGCACATGCCCGGGTTGTGGGCTCGATCCTCAGTGTGGGGCGTGCAGGAGGCAGCCAATCAATGATTCTCTCTCATCATGGATGCTTTTCTCTTCTCTCTCTCTCTCTCTCTCTCTCTCTCTCCCTTCCTCTCTAAAATCAATAAAATACATTTTTAAACCTTGATTAATGAGTAATCAGTAAGTTGTCAGGGCCACTATAGAAAACCATAAAGCTAACCCAAACTGAGAAGCAGTCTGCAGTCATCAGCATGAGTTGTTTATCCACTTATTACCTCTCTTTCCGAGCTCCGATCAGAGTCTCTTTGTTTCTTTCTAGGCTGCACTCCAAAACTCAGATGCTTAACCACCACAGGACAAAAGCAGGAAGAGTGAGGTGCTTCCTAAGAACATGACAGCTCCTTAGAGCCACCACGAGCTAGAGATCTATCTTTCCACACAGGAAGATCATTCCTGTAGCCATCATAGCTAACATGTGTGGCACTGTTCTAAGTACTTTAGATGCATTCAATGCCTTTCATTCTCAGAGCAGATACCTGAGTATGCTTTAGCATTATCCCCGCTTTATACATGGGAGACTCGGGCACGGAGAGTTTAAGTAATTTTCCCAAGCTCACTC